GGGACCTCCTCTCTTCACTTTTACACACACAAACACAATTCTCTTCAACATCCTTGCTTATTTCATCATTTCTACTCTCTTCTCTTGAGATTTCTTCATCATGGGCAAAGATAAGAACAGGGCAGGAGCTTCCGGCAAATCCAAGGCCAAATCCCGGGCGCCTACGACATCCACCGAGGAACGCCTCTACTATGGTGACAGGTCATACCTTTGGTTTGATTCCGAGGAGGAACGCACCCATTTCCTCACCTTCTTCTCTAAACGGGTTGTGGCTCCTCCACGGATCATCCCGGAGCGCTACCCGGAGCTGCAGGGCTACGACGACCTCGACGCGCAGCTTCATCAGGCCGGCCTTTGGCCTTTCGTCTCCCGGGCTCGGAAGCAGATCAACCCGGCGTTGATTCGGGTCTTCTACTCCAATCTCCGGCGTGAGGGCGACGTGCTCTATTCTCTTGTCAAGAGCATGTCGATAGAACTTTCAATTGAGCAGCTTGGGCGCATCACCGGCCTCCCCTACCAAGGCGACGACGTCTCCCTCTATGGCGGAGAGGACTGGGTGCTCAACAATGAGGGCCTTATCCTCAACGAGCTTGGGATCACCGAGCTCATCCGCCATGCCTCGGGTCACCTAACCATCCATTCTGCTAACCCCGAAGGCCGTCTTCTTCTCTACATCGTCTCCCGGATCATCAAACCCAGGAAGCACGGCCACACCATCATGTCCGGTGAAGACCTCAAGCTCATCCATGCGATCATGCACTCGGCCCCAATCAATTGGGCAAAGTTTGTCATGATCAACATGACGATTTCCGCGTCCACCGACCACGATCACCTCCTCCCGTACCCGTTCGTGGTGATGGACATCCTTGAACGGTTCAAGGTGACGACCACTGTTGGCCCACTCACGAAGGCCACGAAGATTTTGGCGATCAGCACCCAAACCTTCAAGAAGCGGTCGGACAACGCCGGACCTGCCATTGCCGTGCCACGGCGCTGTTCTGCTGCTGGCCCAGCCGAAGCCCAGGCCCGGGCCAACCTTGCCTCCATCGCCGACTCCCTCAACCGGCTTCACTTCAAAGTTGATGGGATGGATGGCTACCTTGAGCGGCTCGACGAGGCTGTTCAACGCCAAGGGCACGCCATGAATGCATACTTCCAACGCGTTAACTATGTCCCCCCACCGTACCATGGCACGTTCTTTGGGCAAGTGTACGGTGACGAGGACGAAGAGGATGGCTCCTACGCCCCGTCAAGCTCCTCGGACGAGGACGAGTTCGACGACGCCGTTGACGGTGATGAGATGGACGTCGACGACGACGAGGAGGAAACCGAAGACGAAGACTAGGCCGCCCCTAGAATTTCTATCTCTTTTATTTTAATTATCATGTCTCTTAATGCTTCCGTTGTACTCCGCTATTTCCCATCTTCAATAAATAAAAGTTATCTCTTATCTTTTTGTTAATGTCAAAAGGGGGAAGAAAAGGGCTATGCATATACTAAGGGGGAACGCCTCTAAAAACGAGACCGTTTGATTTTAATCCGACTAATTTCTTTTAAGCACAAATTAAGGGGGAACTTTTTCACAACTTTTTGAAAATCAAATATCCCTTAATATGCATATCCCCGTCTTGATTGCCATTATCAAAAAGGGGGAAATTGTTGGAACACGGGTTTACGCCTACGTCGTACTAAACTGTGTTCGTTTTTATGACAGGTTTTGATAATGCCAAACCGCCGTGACACAACAAGGCTAAAGTGAGCAAAACCAAGGCGAAGAAACACGGCATGATGACATGTGAACCAAGAACCAAGAATCAAGAACAAAGAATTAGAATTGCATCGAGTCGGTCTTAATGTGATCGAGACCGGCACAAACTTCCAAATCTTGGCTCTCTA